GAGGCCCTGGAAGCAATGACTGCCATCTCTTCTAAAATGACTCTTAATTCCTAGAGAAATGGTTGATTTCAGCAGAGAAGTACAAAATAAGCTAGAACACCTTGTTAAAGAAAGAAAGTGAAAAGGGCTTGAATAATTGTGGGGCGATGCCTAAAGGACATAGAAACCATCTTGAAGGACTTCAGTTTGCTATCTGTAAGGTAAATTGAGTAACAAATAACCATAGTATAACAGATTGTCTTAGGCCACTTGTGCTGAAATAATAAAAATACTTGGGGCTGAGTAATTTATATAATAAAAATTAATTTCTCACAGTTTTCAAAGCAGTAAAGTTCAGAAACAAGGCACTAGTAGCCTCAGTGTACATTAAGAACTAGTTTCTGCTTCAAGATGGTATCTTCAATTCCTGTAGAGGAGATGAGCAGTATATCCTCATGTCAGAAAGTGGAAGGGCAAAGGATGACTGTAATAAAAACAATAGATTATATGTGTTGGTAAGAACCCTTATATACTATGCTAGAGGGAATGTCAAATGGTGCAGCAGTTTTGGAAAACAGTTTTGTCATTTCCTCAGTAAGTTAAACATAGAATTATCCATATGATGCAGCAATTCCATTCCTAGGTTATATACCTATGAGAGTTGAAATACATGTACACATAGCAGCCTTATTTATAGCAGCACAAATGTGGAAAAACTCGATGTACATCAACTGATAATAGATAAATAGCAGGTGGCATATCCATATAGTGGAATATATTTAGCAATGAAAACAAATGAGACATGATGTAACAGGGATGATGTAACAGGCCCGTCACAAAGGAGCACATATGGTATTATATTATTCATATGAAATGTACAAGTGAAGACAAGTGATAAAGCAGTGGTTGCTTAAGGCTGAGAGAAAGGGGCATATGTATATGGATAGAGATAATGACTAAGGTATATAGAGTTTCTTGGGGGGGTAAAATTTTTTCTATAGTTGATTATGGAGTGGATGCATACCTCTGAATCTACTAAAGGCCACTGAATTGTGTGCTTTAAATGAATGAATGTATGGTATGTGAATTGTATCTTAACACATCTATTTTTTCATCTGATCATCATTTTTTAAGGTGATTTAAGTTCAGTGAGTAAAGAGCTATATATAAAATATTATTAGTGTAATTTCACAGCATTTTTTATCTTGCATTTTCATATTTGCTGCTGTTAAAACTACTTACGAGCCTACTGTGTTGAGGTGGTTATGGGGGTGGCGGTGGTGTCCCAAGATGCAGTTGGCTGCATTGGATGCATTCTTCTATCATGTATAACTAATTAGAAGAATTTTTTTAAGTAAAAAAGAAAAAGTTATCACCTGACCCCTCATAACAAATTTCTCCATGTTTTTGAATTTATGTCTACTAGGTTGTAAATTGTAACAGATATAGGTATTAAACAAACAGAAGGCTGGCTTATAATGAGAAGAATGCTGAAGTTTTATAGAAATTCAAATTATCAAACATTTTGAGAAAAAGTCAAAAAGGATTGGGAATTTCAAAGATTTTTTTAATAATTTAAGGTTAAAAAGGAAGCTTTTTTAAAACTTTATTTCTATGTGGTGCTGAGGATCAAACCCAGTGCCTTGCATATGTGAGGCAAGTGCTCTACCACTGAGCTATAGCCCCAGCCCCCAAAGGAAACATTTTTAACTCAATGGGATATTCAACACTGCTCCCCAAAAGTAAAAATTTAGCAGATGTGTTACTGGTGTCCTGAGGTATTTGAAAACAGTTGAAGTTTGTCATGAACATACATCATGCCTTCCCCCAAGGACAATTCTTTCTGTAAATGAAACATGTAAAAGGAACTCTTCCATTCCACATTGTGACTCAAATTCAGATTACTGAAACTTTACAAGAGGATTGCACTCTGTCTCTTCTCTTTCTAATCACACCTAGATCAACCTTAGACTTCACAAGTAAAAATCTTGTGTGACTTTCACATCATTCAACAATCAATACAAATATTTCCAGAACCATCAAATTTTCAGAGTAAACTTTGTACCAGTGAGGTGATGGTATTATTTTCAAAAGATTCTCCTATTCATAATGTATGTTCTTTGTTTGCCCATGCATTTATTTTACCCCAAATTATTCAATTTGTTTGCCTAATTACTGCCAAAGTATCTATTTATCTCAGTACAATCTATCCGAAACACTATATACTACATAAAATTATTTTGATAAACTGTCAATTTCTGACTCTGTTTTGGACTGACAGTGCCCCAGATTTGCCCCAAGTTGATTTTATTTAAACTTTTTAAAATAGTTAATGGGCCTCTATTTTACTTATTTATTTATATGTGGTGCTGAGATTCCGAATCCAGTGCCTCACACAAGCACTCTACCATTAAGCCACAACCCCAGCCCTACTTTTAAAAATAAAAGTAATAAGCTTTCAAAAAAAGTTACTTATGAAATGCTTAGAAAGAAAAGTTCATGTTTGGTTAGACAGAAGTATATCAAACCATTGTTCTGTATTCAACATCACTAATCAGAAGTATAGTTACAAATATTAGAATAATTTAGAATGTAAAGTAGAGAAATGTATTTAGAATTACCCTTAAGATGAAATCTTACTAGGGATACAGATACAGAACTGCATTTGGAAGTATATTTGATTGATAGAACTAAGATATTACTGGCTTTTTAAAAATATTAGTGTGATGTTAGCTAACTGCTGTTTTATTAGATTTTATAGACAGAATCATTGTTTTCTGTCCCTCATGTCAAAATCTATCAGTTAAAAATTGATTCACAGAGTATGGGGAAGAAGGAAGTTACATGTGAACTCACAGAATTTACTTAAATTTTTACTTCCTCTACCTAAGTAAGAAAGCTGCAATGCAGGTATTTAATCTAATGGTTTTGTTAAGAATTGGGACTATCATAAGTGGCTGAAAGATGAAGATTGTTGATATAACAAAATCTTTATATTGCCCCCAATGGGATAATATTATTTGAGCAAAGATTTCTACATTTTAATAAAGAGAATAACTTTTCTCAAATCTTAACATTTATAGGAAAAATATATAAAACAAAACATTCTATTGAATGCATATCAATTGTTAAGTTAACTAAGATGATGATGGAAATTTAAATGGAAAAATATATAATATCTTTGATAGAGTTATATACTGAAGTTTTAAGTTAAAATTGATCAAATGGAAGAGCTTTATTTTTTCTCCATATGATCCTAAATAACAATTTTAATTATTTTTTCACAGAGTTGTGAAATTATATGGCTGTAGTATAATACAGATGAGACACAGAAATTTCTACTATTTGAGTCTAGAAAGTTTTTCATTAATGTTACTGATGTTTTAAAGATAACTTCAGTTAGAGTAATAGGTTGAAATGTGAGATTTTCAAAATAAGACAAAAATTACTAATGTTTTCAGTGTTATTTTATTGCCTTTAACTTTTCTAGCTCTAACAAAAGGATTCCAGTTGGATTTTTTTCTATTCCTTTGATTTTTGAAAAGCTTTAAGCCAGAAGCAAATTTGGGTTATCTGTGAGACCAGATGGGGAGGAAAATGAAAGGGGAGTTTCTAACAGTTTCCTGAAGAGGGAATTTGGAGAAACTTAAAGTTTGAGAGAAGTTTTTAAGAGAAGAAAGGAATTTTTCAACTATTGTTTAAGAAATGAAGAACTTAGGTTGCTTTGAAATTAGTTTTCAACTGCAATCAGTTTCCTACTGCCATCAGTTTCCTTTGATCATAGTAAAATTTGAGATGAGACAGTGTGGCTCAAATATTTAATACAGTTGGGAATTGTCTAACGTTTTATACCAGTGATTTTCAAGGAAGTTGGAGGAGGGAGAACAATTTTATCTGGAAGAGGAAGGTATTGCCGTAAAGTTACTTTTTTTTTCATTGTTGTTACTTTTAATTATTGTTAATTAAAGTTTGATATTTTGTCCTGTTAAAGAACAAATTATTAGCTAATTGATATATGACCTACCATATTTTTATATTATTATCAATTCTTTTTTTCCCCTTTGGGAATATTATATTGGCTTGGGGAAAGAGAATGTGGGAAGAAATGGAGTAGAATTTGATTCCAGAATGTCTTCTTATACATGAAATAAACTTGGCGAATCTGAATTTTCTTTTTTTGTCCTGTCATCAGTCTTGTCCTGCTCTGTACTGTCCGCCAAAGTGGTGATAATTTCTTTAAGTACAGAGACAATCTTTAAAGTCTACAATTTCCAGATGTTGGATCAGTTCTTCAAGATTTTAGTGATATCAGTGAACATGGCAATCATCTTTTAGTGTTTTCTTTTGAACCTATCTATTGTTTCAGCACCCAAAAATAAATTTATCAGGATACCACAGGGAAAAGATTCCTAGAGTAATCCTTGACACACAGTAAGTTGTAAGTGAATAGTCTTCAATATTATTTGTTATATAGTAGAACAAATTACATGCTATTTTTATATAATATCTCCACAATGAAAAGGAGGAACAATTTGTATAGTTTGTTATTGCTACTTCATACAGTTTTATAAAAATATTTCATTTATTTGACTGGAACCCTTCATTATCAACATCTCTATGAAATCATCTAGCTGAAACACCCAATACTACTTGAGAGCAGAATTGATCATGTAGGGAAATGGTCTCTTGGGACTTTTCAGAAGAAACCTAATCATTTAAGAATAATGTTTCATATATTATAAAGATGAATCATCATTTTTGTTTTTACTCTATGAAGCAGAAATTGAGCAACTAAATTGAAATTGTAGACATGATGAGAATTAAGTCATTTCTGCTTTTTATTCATAATACAACCTTGAAAACATCCTTTATGATCATTATCATTCAAATTATTTCATGAACAAAATGAAATCCCAGATTTAGTAATTAGAGAATTATTTTCAGAAATATGTACATTGCTACAGATTTCATAGCTAGAAAAATCCACTAATTGGATTCTATGCATTTTTTTTTTTTGGCAGGTAACAAATCACAAGACAGTGGCATAGCAGAGATGGAAGAGCTTCCTGTACCACATAACATCAAAATAAGCAATATCACATGTGACTCATTCAAGATTTCATGGGAAATGGATTCAAAATCCAAAGACCGAATTACACACTATTTCATTGACCTCAACAAGAAAGAGAACAAGAACTCTAATAAATTTAAACACAAGGTAAAAATCTAACAAGTACTTATTTATCTTAAATGCTTTCTAAGTATGAGGACACTTTAAAAGAAGAATAATATTCTATTAATGACATATGATATACTTAGCATTGGGAAGAATAAAAATTGTATGTGATTTGAAAACCCTGTACCTCTAATATATTTTGGAAGAAATTGAAGTGCTCTGCTTATTGTTAAATGAATGCAAATACCATATGACCTAAATATTATACTCTTTGATATTTATCCAAAAGAACTGAAATCAGTATACTATGATGATATGGACATTACATCATTTCAGTGTTTGTAGCAGCACAGTTCACACATTATGGAACCATCTAGGAGTCAGCCAACAGATGAATGGATAAAGAAAAAAATAATGTGTGTATACACATACACACTATGTGTGTGTGTGTATGTATGTCTTTATACACACACACATAGTGTGAATGTATATACACACATTATTTTATACACACACACACACACACACACACACACACACACAATGGAATTCTACTTAGTCCAAGAGAATGAATTAATGTCATATACTGGTAAAGGTTAGAACTGGAGAATATCATGCTAAGTGAAATAACTCAGAGGCAGAAAGTCAAGGGTGAAGTGTTTTTTCTCATATGTGGAAGCTAGACCAAAATAAGGGGGGAAAAAATAAAAAGGTGACTGAGGGGTTTCCTTGAAAACAGAAGATAGATCAGTGGAGTAAAGGAAGGAGTTTGAGGGAATGGGAAGAGGGATAGGAAAAGGGTGAAATTAATCTGACCAAACTTTCCTGTGTACATATATGAATATACCACAGAGAATTTCACCTTTGTGTAAAGTATTTTTAAATATGTAAATTCTTTTGTTAGCTAGGAATTTAAGTTTCTCTTCTCTCTGTTGTTTATAAGTGACTAAAGTTATTACACTTGAATGCCCTTCCCTCCCTCCCACCTTTCTTATTTCCTTCCTTTTTATCCCTTTCCTTCCTTCCCTTATTTTTTGTTCCTATTCTTCCTTTTTTCCTTTTTAGGATGTTCCAACAAAATTGGTGGCAAAAGCTGTTCCCTTGCCAATGACTGTCCGTGGACACTGGTTTCTGAGCCCAAGAACTGAATATACCGTAGCAGTGCAGACTGCCTCAAAACAAGTTGATGGTGATTATGTTGTATCTGAATGGAGTGAAATTATAGAATTCTGCACAGCAGGTAAGAGAACTAGATACAAATACAAGGAAAACAAAATGTTACTTGTTTCTAGAAAGGTAATTACCAAAAAGTATTTCTTTTTTGTAACTATAAAGTGAATAGGTATTGCATAGGTTAGTTTTACATTGTCAGTAGCATTGTATAACAGAATGAACAATATTGTATTGATTGGAGGAAACTGAAGTTCTCAGTTCTCAAACTTGAGTGATGTCACCAAATCACTTTTTTGCTGCATATATAGTTTGATATTATTTACAATGAAAGCTTTATAAATAAAAATCAATGCATTTTGATAATATACTCATCATATTTTGAACTTCATTTTCTTCTTTTTATTCTTTGATTTTCACAGATATTGAAGGAAGGAAGACAGAAATATACTTTTCTAATATAGGGGAATAGAGGCAGGTCTCAATAACTGTGCCTAACAGAAATGTTGGATTTTTCACTTGAGTAGTGGAAGAGCTTAAGGAAAAGATAGCTTTAAACTAGTGTCCTGTTTGTGTGTCTTTTCTTTATTAAAAAGTACCTTAATAGCCATTTGGCATTAAGAAATCTGATGTAAGGAATCTGCTTTACTGGGGAGGTTTAATCTAAGACAAAAAGGCACAATCTCTTTTTCCATTGTGTCACACAGTTTGAGTATCCCTGATCTGAAAATCCAAAATCTGAAATCTGGAACATTTTTTAACCCTGATGTTTTTGAATTTTTGAGCATTTTAGGCTTGGGGAGTGGGAATGCTCAATCAGTGAAGTATATACAAATATTCCAAAATCCAGAAAACTCTGAAATTTGAAATACTCTGGTGTCAACCATTTTGGATAAGGGATATTCAACTTATAATGCCTGCAGTTTTCTCTATGACAAATGAAACAGTATCAGATATTTGTCACTAAAAGGAGCTAAAATTTATTTGCTAAAATCCCATATGACATTAGAGAAAGGTTTGAAATATTGTTTCTTTTTTAGTTTAAGGAAAATCCTTCAAGTTCAGAAATAGCACACATGCACACACATGCAAACAAATGAACCCACATGCACATGTATTCATTCTGTTCAACTATATAAGTGCATGTTGTTATTTCTATATGTATGAAGGAAAATTCTTTTTTTATTTTGTTTTCATTTAGAGTGGAATCTCCCTGTAGCTCGTTATGTAATCGCATAATTCTCCTAAAAATTATAGAGAAACTGCCTGCTTTTAAGTGAACCACAACAATTTCTATACATTATTTTGCCTTTTTATTTTTTGTAAGTAAAATCTAAGAGGAACTTAAGCTGTTCAGAGCTATAATTTGAGTTTATCAGTTTATTTGGGGACTGTTTCTTATAAACTTTATTTATAACTTGGTCTCTTATATTTTAAAAAAGCTATTGTGAATAATTGTCATTTAATCTTGACATTAATTCACATATCATTTATTGAGCCCATACTGTGAGCTAGGCACTTTACAAGGTATTGGAAATACAATATGATACAATCATATAAAATAGAATACCACAGACTAATCTACTTCTAGTATGTAACAGAGATAAAACAATACTCACTATAATAATGTCATTATTGACTATTTAAAACAATATTTATCTCCTATGGATTATTAGTTCTTTGAAGGGAAAAATATATTTTTATCTTTTTAATATGACTATTTAATTTTGCATAGTGCTTTGTATATAGTACATTTTAATATAAATAAATGCTGGTTGAGCTGGTACAGAGTAAGTAAACAAATTCTGCCATGAGCACTTTAACAAGGTTGGTCTGTTTAGAAACTCCAAGTACCCTTTATAGACCAAAAGTTTCCTTAGTTTCTGCTGCAGGTGTTTGAAGTAATTCTCAATTTTCAAAACAAAAAGTTTATTAAGAAGTATCAAATAATTTTAAGAGTTGTACTAGATTTTCAAGAGTCTTTTGTACTCAAAGACATCTATGAGCCAGAAATGGAGTCTCAAAGTTACTGGCTATATGAACACTGAGCAAAATCATTTAACTTTGATGAGCTTCAATTTTTACATCATTAAAACAGCCATATTTAATCTATCTTATGAACCTCAGAGGTTTAGAAAATAAATTAAGCATTATTTCTACTCTCCAACTTTGCTGATTGCTTGCAGATTATAAATTTCTTTCATTCACTTTATCAACTGATTGTAAAAAAGTTGCTATAGTGCTGATGGACATTAATTGGGTTATGAAGACTTATATTGAACATACGTTTGTTTCAGGATATTCAATTTCAAAGAGTAAAAAAGTACAAGGATATTCTAAGAAACAATATAAACTATAACAAGGGGATAGAGATGTAGCTCAGTGGTAGAGCACTTGTTTAAAGAAAAATGTGCCACACAAGGACAGTGAATGTATGTTTGTTTTTTATAAATTGCAAGTACTGTTTACTTAGTTGAATTCCCTAGAGGTCATTATTAATAATCTCTAATTTATTAAGTATGTAGCTGATAATTTTGGTGCTATATTTTAAAAGACTTTTTTTAATTACAGACTATTCAAAAGTTCATCTAACACAACTGTTGGAGAAGGCTGAAGTGATTGCAGGACGTATGCTTAAATTTTCTGTTTTTTATCGTAACCAGCACAAAGAATATTTTGACTATGTTCGGTAAGAATAAAAAAATTGGTGTTTTTTAACTAAAAATGATTCAAATTCTAGGCTCATGTTTCCCATTACTCTAGTTTTATAAAATTGGAATTCCAGATTTCTTTTTTAAATAGTTAATTATACTGACTTTTATTTCTCAGAAAAATTAAATGAAAAAAATCATATAATGATTTTCCCCCCACATCACTTAGATTGCTTTCCATGATCATATAACCGTTCTGGTCTATTTGACTGGAATGTCTTAAATCTGGTATTTAGATTGATGAGTATTTATTATACATATTCCTGCAAATCCCACTAACTCAAATGTCCTCTTCTTCACACTACCAAATGTTCTTCCCTTTTTGTGGATCTCTTTAAGACATTGAAATGAGAGGATAAGAAAAAAGACTATGTCATGAATTATTATGATAATTCAGATGGGATTTTCAGACTTTCTCCAGAGTGGAAAGCTCTTAATCATTAGTGCAAATTAATTATTCATGAGAACAATCTCTTTTGTTTACTTTTGAATTGTAGTGATTTCAACTGGATTTTTAAAGATCCCCTATTTCAATTCCTTGAAGCAATTCTCAAGAAGTTAATAGAACACTATCCCATAGGTAGTTTTAATACTTGCAACATTTTTATATATGTAGAAGACAATTTCAAGAGCATAAACAGGCAGATATACGTCTTAAAGTGAGACTAAGGATTTCAAAATGACAAGTGCTATATTGGTTCTAAAACTTTTATACAGAAATCACTATAATTTTGTCATTTTTAAAAGCCCTGGTCTTGCTTTAGACTTCAAAGGATTCTTAAGTTGACAGGACTATATATGAAAAAATTTAGGAAGCTTTGGCATTCTTTCTGTTTTCTTTATATTTCTGTTTCTCTTAAATCAAGATCATGGTACTAGGTTTATATTCCTGGTATTGTTGATGTCAATTTTAGATGGCCACTGGAGGTCAGTGTTTCTCTACAATTTTATTTGTCCTACAGATGGGAACTGGCCTTCCATACTTGCTTCATCTGTTTTCAAAAATTCTCCCAAGAAGAAAAAGGGATAAATAGCATATGGAAAATGCATAAAGTTGATGTACACATGGCATGTTATGATTCCAAATTGTAACATGAAAGATGTGTTTATTGCGAAGAAAATTTGCCTTTGATGGATTTCAAAGTAGTAAAATCCATGTAAATTATATTTTCAAGCAGTACATATAAATAAGTATACTTTGTGAAGGAATTGATAGAATCTTTCAACATTGTTTCTTAATGATGGTTTATTAAAAAACCTTTATCTCGGCAGATCTTGGTATTCGTCTTATGCTATGAATTTTAGTTAGGACACATCTTCTTAGTTAGAGTCCATTTAAAATGTCATGATCTTATTCAGATGCTTAAATATGATGGAACCTTTCAATTACCTGATAAACTTTCCAAATCATTATTTTGGGGAAAAAAACCTAGATAAAGTCTGATTTAAACCATAAGGAATGAACTCATTTTGATCTCTTCTTGAAAAGAATTTCAAAGTGAATATTGTTTTCCCTTACTTTAAATGAAAAATAAGACTTTACCTCTTACTGCTTTTCATTTTCGATAGCTTAATTGTCCTTAAATTCCTTACTGTATCTGAAATTTTATCTTCAAGAATTCAATAAGATCAGTAGGTATGTGTAGGAATTCTTATATTTTTGGTGTCATTAATAATTAAGATGAGGCTCTGTCATTAATAGTAGGTCTCATTCCTTAACTTGAATTCCTATTTATATATTTTCTGCTGTTCTTATTTCATATAGTTGCACTTGTGGCTCTTTACGAAGGGCATATGAATTTTATTAATGAAAATGAAACAAAGGTTACAAATTTTGATCAGGGACAAAATGAAAAAGACACACATTTCCATATTCTTTTTACTAAGGACAACTACAAATTTTTGGCATTATTTATAAAAGAAATATTAAATTTTGCAAAGTAAAAAGAAGAAGGTAGACCAACCAGGTATTCTGGAACTGGAGAAACAACACAGGGATGAGTTAACTATGTTTTCTTTACTTTTTTTTTTTTTTTGTCACATGTAAAATCAAGTTTTTAATTCACTTTCACTTGTTAATTCTATGATGCTTTTTATGTAGATGTGTTTCTTTTTTAATTCTAATTAGTTACACTTGATAGTAGAATGTATTTCAACACATCATGCATAAATGGAGCATAATTTTTCATTCTTCTGGTTGTGTATGATGTAGAATTATACTGGTCATGTAATCATATATGTACATAGGATAATAATGTCCAATTCATTCTGCTACCCTTCCTTCCCCCATACCCACTCACCTCCCTTTACTCCCCTCTGTCTAATCCAAAGTACCTCTATCCACCCACCCCCTTACTGTGAATTAGCATCCGCATATCAGAAAACATTGGACTTTTGGTTCATTGGGAATGACTTGTTTTGCTGAACATGATATTCTCTAGCTCCATCCACTAACAGGCAAATGGATAGCGCTATAGAATTTCATTCTTCTCTAAGGCGAGTAATATTCCATTGTGAATATATACCACCTTTGTCTAATATGGGATAACTTTTATTTATGTGGATTTATTGATCTACATGTTTGTTTTGGTGTCAATACTATGCTGTTTTTGCTACTATGGCTCTGTAGTATAATTTAAGTCTGGAATGTATACCACATTTTCTTTATCTCTTCGTAAATTGAAGGGCACCTAGGTTGGTTCACAGTTTAGCTATTGTGAATTGAGCTGCTATAAACATTGATGTGGCTGTGTCACTGTAGTATGCTGATCTTAAGTCCTTTGGGTTTAAACAGAGCTGGGGGTGGGGGCTGGGATGTGGCTCAGTGGTAGAGGGCTCACCTTGCATGTGCGAGACCCTGGGTTCCATCCTCAGCACCACATAAAAATAAATAATTGAAATAAAGATATTGTGTTCAACTACAACTAAAAAAGAAATATTTAAAAAAAAACAGCAGGGTGGATAACTGGGTCAAATGGTGGTTCCATTTCAAATTTTCTGAGAAATCTTCATACTGCTTTATACAGTGGTTATACCAATTTGCAGTCCCAACGGAAATGTATGAGTGTACCTTTTTTCCTACATCCTTGCCAACATTTATTGTTGCTTGTATACATGGCAGTTGCCATTCTGAGTGGAGTGAAAAGAAATCTCAGTGTAGTTTTGATTTGCATTTCTTTAACTACTAGAAATGTTGAACATTTTTTCATATAATTGTTGATTGATTGCATTTCTTCTTCTGGGAAGTATCTTTTTAGTTCCCTAGCCAATTTATTGATTGGGTTATTTGTTTTTTTGGTGTTAAGTTTTTTGAATTCTTTATATATCCTGAAGATTAGTGCTGTATCTGAGGTACATGTGGTAAAGTTTTTTCTCCCATTCTTTAGTTCCTCTCTTCATATTCTTGATTGTTTCCTTTGCTGTGAAGAAGCTTTTTAATTTGAATCCATCCCATTTATTGATTCTTGATTTTACTTCTTGTGCTTCGGGAATCTTGTTAAGGAAGTCAGTTCCCAGGATGACATGGTAAAGATTTGGACCCACTTTTTCTTCTATTAGGTACAAGGTTCTCTGTTGTAGTGCCTAGGTCTGTGATCTACTTAGAGTTGAGTATTGTGCAGGGTGAGAGATAGGGATCTAATTTCCTTTTGCTGGATTTCCAGTTTTCCCAGAACCATTTGTTGAAGAAGCTATCTTTTCTTAATGTATGTTTTTGGCTCCTTTGTCTAATATGAGATAACTGTATTTATGTGGATTTGTCTCTATTTCTTCTATTCTGTACCATTTGTCTACATGTCTGTTTTGGTGCTAATACCATGCCATTTTTGCTACTATGGCTTTATACTTTAATTTAAGTCTGGCATCATGATGCCTACTGCTTCATTTTTCTTGCTAAGAATTGCTTTGGTTATCCTGGGTCTCTTATTATTCCAAATGAATTTCATGATTGCTTTTTCTATTTCTATTTCTATGAAGAATGTCTTTGGGATTTTAATAGGAATTGCATTAAATCTGTATAGCATTCTTGGTGGTATGACCATTTTCACAATGTTAATTCTGCCTATCCAAGACCGCGAAGATCTTTCTGTCTTTTCTTTAGTTTTTTTTTTTAAGTATCTTTCACCTCTTTTGTTAGATTGATTCCCAATTATTTTATTTTTTTAGGCTATTATGTATGGGGTAGATTTTCTAATTTGTCTTTTAGTGGATTTATCACTTATGTACAGGAATGCATTTTATTTATGGGTGTTAATTTTTTTTTTTTTTGGTTCTGAGGGTTGAACTCATGGGCACTTGACCACTGAGCCACATCTTCAGCTCTGTTTTGTATTTTATTTAGAGACATGGTCTCACTGAGTTGCTTACTTTTGCTTACCTCACTTTTGCTGAGGCTGGCTTTGAACTCTTGATCCTCCTGCCTCAGCCTCCCAAGCTGCCGAAATTACAAGTGTGCTCCATCATGCCCAGATATGGGTGTTAATTTTATATCCTGCTCCTTTGCTGAATTCATTCATTAGTTTTAGAAGTTTTCTGGTGAAAAATTTTGAGTCTTCTAAATAAAGAATCATGTTGTGGGCAAAGAGTGATACTTTGAATTCTTCTTTTTCTGTTTATATCTCTTTAATTTCTTTCTTCTCATTGCTCTGGCTAGAGTTTCAAGGATGATGATGAAAAAAGTGTTGAAAGAGGACATCCTTGTCTTGTTCTAGTTCTTAGAGGGAATGCTTTCAATTTTTTGCCATTTAGAATGATGTTGGCCTTGGGTTTAGCATATGTGACTTTTACAGTAGATTTTCTCGTGTTTAGATCATGAAGCACTGCTACATTTCATCAAATGGTTTTTCTCTGTCTGTTGAGATGATCATATGGCTCTTGTTTTTAAGTCTATTGATGTTATGAATTATGTTTATTGATTTCCATGTGTTGAACAAACCTTGCATCTTTGGGATGAACCCCACTTGATCATGATGGCACTATC